TGCCTCCAATCCAGGATTCCTGTATAAAATCTCTATCTGAACCAAGACTGACAGAGAACAACATGAATCTATTCACAAACCATGCTGAGTAATCTAAATCACCATTATTTTTAACTTCAAAGAGGCACCCTAGGGTACCCGTCCTCAAAAGAATGAGCCAAAAATGCTGCTTGTGAAAAAAAATAATAAAATAAGTCAAACCCACCAATGTCCTACATGAATGAGAAGCAACTTGGAGAATCAATCTGGCTGAATTTACCCCCCAACTTTCAGTATTTGGCCTTACTAACTACCAAAAGCAGGAGCAATTGCTTTGCCTCTTGCCGTTCACATGTAACAAGTCATCTAGTGGTCTCATTTTCTGCAATGAATACAGAATTATGAACATCTCTCCAGGACCAGGTTCCTTAGTACATGTTTATTTTCCTGTCTGAGCCTAGAAAAAAATCCCAGCACGTGGAGCTGTGCAACGAGCCACAGCACACAGCCAACACCCCAAGGACCGCAGAGGCTTTCCTGTTCTGTGCTACAGGAAGGTCAGGGAAATCAATGGGAGGTGGAGGCACTGGGAGAGGACCTGTTACACAAAAGCAAAGCAGGTGTGCAGCACTCCAATTTGGCCAGAAAAAAAAAAGAGCACTTCTAAGCTGTAAAGAAATATGTTTAAAAACCCTCAAAGGAGGGATGGTCTGAAACAAATCAGTGCTATTATAGCTACTGAAACAAAAATCAGACATAATCACTGAATAAATCAAGCCAGCTAAAGAAAGCTTTTATTTTAATCAGCAACTTTTGCAATTATCCAGATATTGTTAAAAGTGGCTGTGTGTCTATTTGACCAGACCAAATAAGGTCAGCACAGGTTTACAGGGGGCTCCTTAGTAGCTTCTCCCTCTGCTATGACTTTGCAGGGAGTCAAAATGCATCACGCAGAGTCTCCTGCTAAATCAAGGGAGGAGAGGAGGCAATACAGCCTACAAACACTGTCTGACCAGCTATTTCTCTCACAGCACTTACCATTGTTTCTACTTCTGTGAGCTTCCATATGGTAAAAATGTATGTTTAGCACAGGCAAGTGCAGGCAGTTTCTGTAGGTCAGAGCTTGTCAGGGTCACAGCCTTACATAATGCACACATGACCTTCTGAATGCGCCCAGTTTGAGTAATCCTAAGCAGCATCCCAGGAAGAAGTACAGAGGTAAAAGAGAGACACAGGCTTTGCAGACCTGCTATTCAAGCATAGGCTTTAGTAAAAAAAGCTGACTGATTTTGTTGATGTGCTTGGAGGGCTTCCTACCACACAAGAGGGACCAGACTTTTCTGATACAGCTTCTGGTAATCCCAATAACCTCCTTCAGGTTAAAGTAAACTTACATGAGCTACAAAGCAAAGTCCAAATTGTCCCTTTGGCATGTAATAACAGGATTGATTCCCATCCTGAGCTGCGGAAGAGGCAGCATTTCCATTCTGAGCACACTCCACTGGCAGGGAGACAGTCCCTTTTCTGAGCTCCATCGCCACGTGGACCTCACAAGGACTTTACTCATGCTCTAACAGATATAACTGCACGTTTAAGAGCCGACTGCACAACTGCTGCCAAGTTGCTGAACCCACACAGCCAGGGAAGGCCTCCTGGGGCAGCCAGGAAGGCACAATACCAGGATCCATTAATCCTTCAGAGCAAAGCAGCAGAAAAAGAAAAAGCACCTTCTCCTGTGCAACAGCTGGTTCTTCGTACCAGGAGACATTGTTTCAACCCCTGCTTGGCCACAGCACATTTCAATCACATTATTTCATTTCCACTGGTCCCTCCATACAATGGAAGAGGGGGATTTCTCTTACCTTCTATGTGCATTGGGGAAATGAAGGCCAGCCAGGCTGCAAGAATACCAGACACTACGAAAACCTGTACCAAATAAGCGCCTAGCTCGACAAAGCTCTGCAGAGGCAACCCTTAGCTAGAGTGTTCCTCTCCCATGCACTAAACCCCGTAACTCGCTAGGTAAGCTGGAGCACACTGTTTAGCAGTGGACCAAGGTCTGATCTTGCTGGGAGTAAAGCAGCTGTGGTGCTTTATTTGGAATTACAGCCATGAAACAGGTCTACCTCTAAGCCTAATCTGTCTCCAGACTGGAGGGTCGGTCTCCTTCCCATACACTGCTGCTTTCATTTCCCAAGTTAAATCACATTTTCCCATTGTGTTCCCATTCAGCAAAAATGAGGTGAGCAACAGGCTAAATGAGGGCAGCTAGACCTCCCTAGAGCACAGAATGTCTTAAAGCTTTAATACACAAACATTACCATGGCACATAGCTATAATAAAAGTTCAGACTATGACACCTACAAAGGATCTGCCAAATGCAAGCTCATTGGTCCTGACTGGACCTCTTACCTCTATTAGGGTTTCTTTTTGGGGGGGTGGGGAGGATGTTTGAGGTTTTGGGGGGTTTTTTTGGTTGTGTTTTTTTTTTTCTTGGGTTTTTTTGTGGGGGTTTTTTGGTTGGTTTTTTTTGTTTGTTTGTTTTTTTCTTAAATGTGGAAATCCATTTTCAAAACTTACCAACTGAAGCCTTTGTATATACAGATAACTTCTCCCAGGCACTCTCATACAACTATAAAAACTAAACACTTGCTTTCTTTAACAGCAACCGTGCTCCTGGTGCAATCTCCTAGCAGATGTGGTTCTAGGAAAAATACTAAGTTTCCTTAAGATTCATAATAAAAAATCAAGTGCAGAAGCAGCAACACTAGAAGAGTTGAAGGCTGCTTCAAAATCTAATGTATCTTCAGTTGGAAACGTATCACCACTGGAATTGCTACCAGCTACTTGAAGTGACTAGACTCTACAGGATGCTGTTAATAGCAATAATAAAATACTATGCATCAAAAAGCTTACTTCAGCACATGGTCTGTATCTGTCACACTTTGCAACACTACAGTGCGTACATGTCTGTGGGACTGTGCAGACAGATACACAGACCTTCCAAAATTTTCCTTAAGAGGACATCCCAAGATAACAAATTTGTATGAGAATACCTCAGAAAGAACAGGTTGCGTCTGACCACAAAGTTCCCTCCTTTTCCAAATTCAAGTCCTGAAGTAAGAGTTACTTAAAATATTTATACAAGATAGAACTTTCAAAAAAATTAAGCAGAGTATGACTGCAGCATAGCTGACTGCAGAGCAGATAAGGGGGTTAGAGAAGAAAATCTGAAGACTTTTTTTCAGTACTTATAAAATACTGCAAATATATTAGGCCAAGAAAGAGACAGTTGGGCTAGCCCCATGGATTTTTATGATGTCCCATGAAAACAAAGACGATTAAGAGGAGATTTCTGGAAATTCAAAAACCAACCGCCCAATTCACTTTTTTTTGTGGAAGTTAATTTAAGGAAAAAATCCTCCCTTTTGAGTCAGTAACCATTAATTTGGCATTTATGAATGCATTTCCAGGTGCTGTTTGAAAACTGAGCTTGTAAATATAGAAAGGTTTATGAAAATAACACAACTAAGGCTTATACATAGGATATTTAGCTTTTCTTTTACTCCTCTACATATACAGACCCAGGAATCTTCTCAGCTATTCAGGCCTAGTTATTTCTCTACTGATATTCCTGTAAGGACATTGGTATATACAGCAACTGTGCTTTATACCACAGGAAAAATACCTGGAGGTTTTCAAAAAGGAAAAATCTTCCATTAAAGAACTAGACACTGGGATCTTTATAGTGTGCCATGGCACCAACACATTGCTGTGCCAGCACATCTGGCACTGGTTATTCTGATGCCCACACACACGCAAGGCGAGCAAGTTTACTTCTTGGCTTTAAATCAATAGAGAAAAAATATTGTTATGGACTCCAACCACAACAGGATTAGATCTTGAACTGAGTTGAGGATAAACTGAGCTGTCCCGTGTAGCTTTTACATCTCTGCCATAACCCATGCCTGCAAGCACACAGCTTGTCTGAGAGAGGCTGCCATTTCTACAACCTTTCATCTACACAGAATATATGGAAAGCCAGACTTCAATTCATTGTGTAATAAATATGTGCAGGGTTGGCTGCATTTTGTATAAACATTGCCACCATTTTTATGACAATCAAACTGGAGTCCAAGACAGTTCCACAGTCCGTTTCATCTGGTGACTAAAACTCTGGAATAACACATTCTGAAGAGCTGCTCTGTTGGAGGGCTCAGTTATGCAGCATGTCTGTCTGTGGATGCTTTCTTGCCCCACACGGTGCTCATGGCTCCCAGGTCAGCGCCATGCAGGAGTCAACCTTTCGAGATGGTACCAAAGCTCTGTTACAGTACAGCATTGAGGATGCCCCAGCCAAATCAAAGACCAAAAGTCACAGCAGTGACTGCTCGCACATGCAGTCAGGCCAAGCACACACACTGGAGGGTACTAATGCATGTAAACTCCAGCACCTATTTCAGGTATCAAATAAGGAGGCCAGGTTCTTTCAGTTCTCAGTATAGTTAATGGTGACAGAGGCTCTTCAAGGTGCTTAAAACTCAGCTCCTGTTCCAGAGTTATCAGCTCCCAGAATTTTATCATGAGCCTGAAAAGTATTTCTGAACAGCCCTGTTCATTTAAAGTAATGTCCCAGACCCTGCATTTCAGAAGAAAAAAACTTCCAGAAAACTATGTTGTACATTCACCCCAAAGGCTCAAGAAAAGAACAAGAATTTATAATTTAAAAAAAATTTAAATAACCTCATGGCTTTTTTTGGTGAGGGGAGGAATGAGGGGGCTGACTCATGATTTTTTATTTTTTTTTTTTAATACTTGTGGCTGGCTCTGCTGCATAAATAAATCAATCCCCTAGCCACACAGCTCCATTTTTCCAGTCACAGCTTGTTGTTTTATTTATTTTTTCCCCTCCATTGCCGACAAATCACTCCAGGGAGTTTTTAAACCCAGTAGTCTACTTTCCGAATGGAAACGGTTAGTATAATTTGTGAGAGAGAAAGCAAACAACAACAGAGACTTACCCCATTTTTCGGGTAGGCTATCCATCCTAGATCCCCCATTACTGTGCGTGAGTCCAGTAAATTCACTGAAAATAAGAGGAAAAAAACATTAAGAAAGATGGATGGATTACAAACTTCAGTAAATATTTCAAGGTTTGGGTGGCTATGGTAAACAAACTGCTTATAATTAACCAAGGAAGTTGGATTTTTCTAAAGCAGAATAACAATGCAGTAACTCCTCTAACAATGAGGTCATAGACTGAAAACAATTCTATATATGCATTACTTTATTCCTTCGAGATATGCCACTGCAACAAAGTTGCAAATGCACTAAACTTCTGTAAGATCCAGATCCTTCATGTTCTTAGGATCTGGTCTTTTGGGGGGAATAAATATATAACATACGTGGTGTGTTTATGTCTACCTGCGAGACATACGGTACACAGATATATGCATACACTCACAAACATCTATGCATGTTTCTACACACATTTCTTCTAAGGTTGCCTATGGTTTTAGCATAATCAAGCCTTTAGGACAAAAAATGAAACAAGAAACAACATGCAGAGTTTCCTGATTACCAGAAATTCAATTTTTAAAGTATCTTTTGTGCAAGTATCACAGCATTACTGTTACCAGGAATCTATTCTTTTCTCCCTCTCCCACATTTTTCCCCAAGTCTTTGACAACTTCACTGTAATATATCCAAGGGATCTTCCCCCCCCCCCCAAAAAAAACCCCTCAAACTAGCTTGCTTAAGTCACATAGGCAATCAACAATTTACATCAAACAGCAAAAAACTATTCTCAACCTTATAACTTTTTTTTGCCCTCACATTAACCAAAATACTGAGCAAGTGTGAAATAATTAAATCTATACACACTTAAATCAGCTAAGGAAAATTATAGCAGCTTCTGGTGCTGAGCTTTTACCTCCTGTACCCAGGGCTTTAAATCTCCAAGTTAAAAGCTTGTCTCTGAATCAACAGCTGTCATCCAAAAACCTCAGCTCAGGAGGAACTTTCTTCTATGTTAAAAGCAGACTATTTCCTCCTCTTTGATTACAACACTCACTTCTCATGGTGTATTTGTCTGCTTAACACCTCACTTTTGGTACTCATGTTCCTCCTGAAAAGGAAGCAATTTCCCTGCGTCTCCAATTCCTGATCTCCTCCCTATATGCTCTTTAAAAATCCCACTGGAAGTTTGCACAACCAGACTTTCAAGACTTTTCCAGCCCATGATGATCTAGCCAACACAAACAAGCTAGAAACAGGTGGAGGCAGCTTTGCACCCACTCACTCCTTTAGTACAAACTTCAAGGTTGCTAGAAAAGTACTTGCAAGGTACTTCAAGACTACTAGAGAAGAGAAACAAACAGGTTGCATGCACAAGTATAAAGGATGTATTATAACCCTCACCTCTACTACTCCTATCAGACTGATTTGCTATCACTGCGCAACCAAATACACCAGTGCAAACACCTGAGGCATACAGACCCTTCCTTATACCAGCCCAGGGCAGAATTAAAAATGCTGCCAACAGAGTGCCTCAGATATCAGTATCACACTATTTACAGATGCATAGTAAGAAAACCTAGAAGTACACTATACTAAAAGGTATCTTAAGGAATATTTAAAAAACAAATTAAGATTAAGCAACATACTTAGTTTGAAAAAAGTTCTCCAAGTCAGTTTGGTCTTAATCATTGTACTGTACTAAAGGCTGACAACTGTAGTCCCTTGTACACAAAAACAGTCCAAAACAAAAATACAACGCTGAGGTAGAAAAAAAAAATAAATCTGTTCTCAGCTCTGACATCAAACACTTGTCTGTCTAGATATTTTCACAATGTATGCACGTATTAATGCAGCACACTATCATAAGGCATATAGATGGAATTCTGCCTGGTCAAGTATATTTTTGTGATGCAGAGCAAAAACATTTGGTAAGCTCAGGGCTTTCATGCCCGGACTGCTTTCTCCTGCCAAAACAAAAAACAGTTGGGAGCTGGCAATGCTACAGAACTACAGGACATTTGGTGGAAGCAACACTCAGACTACACTGAACTACATCCACAGTAAGTAAACATACAGTTAGGTGGCTTTCCACCCACAGCCTAAGCAAAATAAAAGTATTTCTATAAACTACCATTAGATATGTCACCCAGTGCTGGCCAGCCTTTCCCCCCCCGAAGTCTGCAGGTAAAATGCTTGTTAAGGTCTCCTGCTCCAGCTGAAGTCAAGCACCAGTACCCACAGGCTCCTGAGCCACGCTGCATTTTCTTTTTAATGGGATAAAAGGGGTGATCTTAAAATATACTTCAAAACAGGACACACATAAATAACATGTCCCATACTATAACTCTATACTATTTTAAAAAGCAAGAGAAGGGCGTGCAGTTGCCAAAATGGCAGGTTTACCCAAATTCCTTCTATTACAATCACTGGAATTAAACTGTGCCGAACAGTATATTCCTGTCTTAAGTTGCAATGGATGCAAAAAACAAGTATTGATCTACATTGTACAACTTAATTAAAACTTGTCCTGGAGATGCTACTAATGAATGTAATTAGATAGTGTGTTTGATGCCACAAACTTCTTCATGACATGCTAATTAAGGAAAAAAGCTGAAAAAGTGCTTTTATTCAAACATCAGATCATAAAGAGAACATGATACAACTAAATATTGTATTACCTTTCTATCAACGACAGTTTTTAAATTGCTATTATTAACTTCAATTTCAAAATAATTTTCTGCGTATGAAAAGATAATACAACCCATTCAACTCTAACTCAAGTCAGTGGGAATTTTCCTACTGGTGACTCAGCCAGCAGAGCTGAATATTGAATCTCCAATTAGAAAAGACTCTATTCCCTCCTTATTTTAGTCGAATTCTGCGTAGAGCAAAACCAATGGGAGAGGATGGGATACACCTTTTGACAGGCACCACACAGTAACCCAAAATTCACATGCCAGGAAGACAAAAGCCACAAGTGACTGGAAGCTCCCCCTGTGCCTGGGCTTGCTCTGGAGAGCAGAGAGGCTCCCAGCACAGCTCCAGCAGCTCTGAGGGGCACTAAGGCACAGCAGACTCCAGCTGCCCCCGTGGGCTTCTGCCCAGGACTGCTTTCACAGTGTATCTTCCAAAATGCGGCACTACATTGGGGTTGGACTAGATGACCTGTAGGCGTCCCTTCCGACCCAAAACATTCTATGATACATTGATCTGCTCAGAAGAACATATTTAGCCAGTACTTACTCTAAACTGCCTGCAAGGACCAAAATGTTTTGCTTTGAGAATCCCCAAAATTCTGGTATAAACACAAATTACCACTGCTCCATTTAGATACAAGGTATCTGCACCTTCCCACCACCAGCCAACCCAGTCATTTCCAATACATCTGTCCATTACCTGCATCATTGCCAGGTCCCAACCCCACCCCAATTCAGCCTCAAACCAGGCCAGAGCCCCCTCTCCAAGGGGGTGGCTCCTCTGATTGCCCAGCTGCAGGAGCTCCCCACACAGGATGACAGCACTACCAACATTTTCAGAACACTCTCTCAGGCAGCCTTCCCATCCCACGCTGCTGGAGAGGCAGCCAGCGCACAGTCCCACTACACAAGTCCATACAGGCTCAGCACCCCTTCTCTTCCCACCACCTCCCAGCCTGGCAGGAACATTATTTTTGCTGAAATGGCTTTCATCAAAAAACTGCAGATTGAACAGGCTGGGGAAGAAACAGTGGGCAACCAGCAGGTAAAGTACATACCTGCAACATGGAGGAAACAATTTTAGCAGAGACTTTAAAGAGGGGTTGCTGCCATCCCAAACAGATGCTTCCATAACTCACCATGTGGCTATTTGGGAAGAGATGATGCTTTTTCACACCTGAATAAAAAAAAAAAAACAACCCTGGAACTGTCTCTGGTTCGACCCAACTAAGACAGAGAAAGAGACCACAGGTCTTCTCCAGAGCAGCAGAACCAGTTCCTCCCCATCCAACCTATGACAACCATGAGCATGCATTTGGCCATGGCTGTCTACTAACCAACCCAAACACTCAGGTCACTGAATGAGGTAATTGAGGAAAACCTCCAACTATGGTGCTTAAGGATTTCATACTTCAGGAGGTCCAGTGCCAGCTCCTGTATGGCTTGGGACTCCTGGACCAGCCCCAGTGCTGTAGATACTCCATGGGCATAATCCAGAGCTGCACTCAGCAACCCTTGGGATGCAGGAGAGCTTACTCCACTGAAGAAATCTCTCCAGAAATTGCTAGCAACTCTGCTTGGCCCATAACCTTAAAAGCCTCCAAAATAATAGAACTCATTTATTCCCACTTCCTTTCTCCCCAGCACAGCTAGCTACGTCTCTACAAACAACCAAGAAACCTCAGAGCCCATAAGCACACTCTTAGCACCTGTATCTTTGCCAGCAAACTTGGAAGAGGCGCATACACACATTCAAAAATGTTTTCTGCTCATCTCCACCATCAGTGCATCCATCCCACAAGCCATAATTATTTCTAATGCTCAGTCAAGGGGAACACAAAACCGCACAGATCTATATCATCATTAACTTCCATGCCTTCAGGGTAGGATAAATGATGATTAAGTCTAAAGTCATACCACAGCCTTTCCCCCCTCCCTTTTTTAATACAGAATAATAGCCCGGGGAATTTGCATACACTCTTGTTCTCAGACAGGCTAGTTACCACGGGTGAGCAATCAAGTTAGAATAAAACTAGAAGTGATCTCAACCTTTGCCCTGAAATCTAGCTGGTGAATTAACAGTGTTTTTTCACTCAGGAATCTCCAACAGGGAGACTGGATACAGCTTTCTACTCAAGTGTCCCCATCATGTTCATACAGCTGGCATTTAGCAGCTTCCCTACGGCTACACAGGGATTGAGGCTGGAAGGAAGCACAAGAAATGCCAGGGCTGATAGCATTCAACGTTGACCTAAACCAACATCACTGCCCACACAGCAGAGCACCCCATCTGACACAGCCACCTAAACCAGCGCCATGTGGCAGCATTAGCTTGCCCAGGCGAAAGCAGGACAGGTCTGCCG